CCACTCTGGCCCGGGTCATCACGGACAGGTACCGTGACAGCACCAAGACGGTGTCGGCCGACGCTTACAAGATCACCCCCGCTCGGGGAGGCTTCTCCGAGGAGTACAAGCGGCTGGACAAGGACCTGGCTGACTGCTGCCGCCGGGACATCCGGGTCCTTGTGCTGGACGACACCAACCACGAGCGGGAGCGGCTGGAGCAGCTCTTTGAAATGGCCGACCAGTACCAGTACCAGGTGCTACTGGTGGAGCCCAAGACGGCGTGGAGGCTGGACTGTGCCCAGCTCAAGGAGAAGAGCCAGTGGGGGCTGTCGGTTGATGAGCTGAAGAAGCTGAAGCCCGGGCTGGAGAAGGACTTCCTGCCTCTCTTCTTCGGCTGGTTCCTGACCAAGAAGAGTTCGGAGGCCCTCCGGAAAGCCGGCCAGGCCTTCCTGGACGAGCTGGGGAACAACAAGGCCTTCAAGAAGGAGCGTCAGCACTGTAGGTGGTGGTGGGCAGGGTGGGGGCAGTCTGCCTCATTCGTCAGTCCCCTGGCTGTGCACAAGGTGCTGCGTGCACAGGACCATGGTGTCCTCGAAGCGCCGGGGGCCAGGGGGGAAGCGAGTGGAGGGTCACCTAGTACCAGGCAGGGGTAGCCTTGGGCAGTGGGAGTAGAGCGGGATAAGGAGAGGTGCTTCCCTTCCATTTCACCCTTTCTTCTCCCCAGTGCCCCTCTCCCAGGGGAATGTAGACCGTCTTAGAGGTGGGAAAAACAAATTACTGTCCTAACAGAAAATATGTCAGCATTTCCTATGACCTTAGGAGAAGAGTCTGGCCCCATGTTTTCAAACTCATTTTTAGCAGCAGTACCATTTTTCTGCAATGTTCCACAAAACCCTATGCTGCAAAAACATAACCAGGACTATGGTGACTTCACTGGGGATGATGTTCTCGGGCCTCGGGCTACAAAGTGCCCCTTTTGTGGCATCCCACCTCGTCCAGGTGCCCTTGTTTCGCAGATGGAAAGCAGGCCCTGAAGGGGTGTGGGGTTTGCCCACAGCCAGTGAGAGCTGGGACTTTGTCCACTCCAGCAGGGGCCTCCCCAGGGTTCTCTACTGGTAAGGGCTGTTTGCTGCCGTGATGGAGTAGGTTTGTATAAGGGCCCTGGTGACCTGTATTCTCCTGCAGTGGCCTACTGGGGATATGTCACCCATTAATCTGTTCATTTAACCCATTTCTAGTTCCCCCAAATTTTAGGTTATGTTCATACTTGA